TAGGTTCCCTGTTTCCAGCTCTTATCTGTACCAGTATGCATGCTCTGGTCTAGCTGGATTTGTAAGGTAGAATTAGGTTCATGATAGTGGTGGAGGAAGAGAAGCATTAAAGAACTAGAAGAAGTTGTATGTTTCGTTGGTGCTATACTACACCCTGACTGGCTAGTCTCTTCCCCGTGACCCTTCTGTAAGGGGATGTCCAATTGTCTACAGATGGGCTTTGGGTCTCCACTCCGCCCTCCCCCTCATTCACATTGATATGGTTTTTTTGTTGTGGTCTTTGATGGCTGATACCTGATCCCATCCACACCTCGTGATCACACAGGCTGGTGTGCTTCTTCCCTGTGGGCTTTGTTGCTTCTCAGCTAGATGGTCACTTGTTTACCTTCAAGCCTTTAAGACCCTAGACACTATCCCTTTTGATAGCCGGACACCATTAGCTGTCTTCACCACATTTGCTTATGCACCCATTTGTCTTCAGCAATCGTGTCAGGAAAGTCAGCATCACAGAATGCTGGGTCATTACAACAAAGTGTTCTTGTGTTGAGGGAGTACTTGAGTAGAGACCCAATGGCTGTCCGCTACCTTGACACGTAACATATAAAGATGTGTACATAGGTCTATATTTACATGTATGCATGCCTGTATTTAGACCTCTATAAATGTCCTTTGCCTGCTAGTTCTTTGGTCTATTTCCTTTTACTTTCCTCTTGTTCCACTATCATGTTCAGCCTTCATTTGTTTCACTAATTCCTCTTGGCTACATTGCCCTTGATCAAGAACTTGTCTTTTTGTTTGTGTTTTTTCTTAGCATTATGTTCTTTAAAATTTATCCATCGGGGAGGTTTGTGTGCTGTCCCATTGACCCATCTGAGCCTACAGCCTTGTCCTCTAGGGTCACCATGAGTCAGAGATGGCTCTGTGGCACTGAGTGAGGCCTGATAGGGCTCTCCTAGGGCAGACCCTGGGCAGGCGGGCGGGCAGGGACAGGACCAGTGAGCCAGATGCGTGTCTGGGTGGGAGCATCCTGACAGTAATGATGGCCGTGAGCAGGTTCAGTTCCCTCCCATGAAACTCCTTTTCCTAAGCACCTGAGACCCAGGTCTCTGCCAAGGTCCTCCAGAAAATGACTGCGGCTTGGAGGCCTGAGTGTTTGGGAGGGGAAGGCAGCGAAATTTAGCAGTGGGGTGGCCAGACGTGGAAGTGGGCATTGCACACTGGGGGATTACCTAACAGGCCGGATCAGGCAGATCAGTTTAGATCCCTGCCAAAGGTTTAGAAAGCCAACATCGGTCATTGGGTGAAAAGTCGGCTTCAGAGGAAAGATTCCACTGTCCTGTGTGTGTGTGTGTGTG